AATCATGCTTAATCTATTCTAGCTATCTCCTATATAAGGTCCTCTGGGGGATATCTACTTCAGTCAGCCAAAACTAGGCTGATATACACAGAGGGCATTTTTTTTGGCCGCCCACAGATTGTGGAATGACCTGCCAGAAAACATTCATCAGCTGGAGACAATGTCTGTGTTTAAAACGGCAGTTAAGACCAGTCTCTTCTGGTTGATTATTTTTAAATTATGGATTATTAAAACTATTTATTGATAGATTTTAATACGGATTGGTTTCATATGCTCTTTTAACTGATGCTATTTGTCATTATTCCCCACCTCAACCCACAAGGAAAAATGTATAAGGAATAAATATTGGGTTGAATTCTCTTGCTAGCTCCAAGCGGAGCAGACTCAGTCAATCAGTGGAGCTTTCCACTGTATTGACTCACCATTCAACAACTGATTCAATGGATCTACTCAATTTTGGGTTAACCACCAGGATTCAAGCTATCATTATTATTATTATCTCTCTTTAGCTGCAAGCCATCTGTTCACCAGCCAATAAGGGGTAACTCATAATTCACTATCATGGACCAAAGAAGTCATTCAGTATTATCCTCCAGAGTGTTGCAGAGGTTTCACCAATATGATTTTTGGAGAGGTTCCCAGTTCATCCATCCAGGATTTCCACCCTCTGGTCCCCACATGAATTTGACCCCACAGGCTTGTTTGTGCAAGTGTGCTGTGAAAAATCTGGAATAGCTGACTCTCTTTCCCCAAACAATCATAGACTGAATATATATATATATATATATATATATATATATATATATATATATATATATATATATGAAGTAAAAGCAGAATTCAATAATGATATTGCTTTCACAGCTAGGTGGTTTCAGAGCCAAGGGCTCCATCTCCCCAAGATGTGTTGATTCTGCCTGGGTTGGGGTTTTCTTTGCTCCCCATCTACCGCCTCGCAGGGCCAACAGCAACATCTATAACCAAGAACTTGAAATTCTTGACCCTCTGACAGCTCACTAAAAAACAGCAAAGGACATCGTAAAGCAGAAGTCACACCAGGCTCCAGTCTAGGGTGGCACAACTTCTTGAACTATTTGCTTCTGGGAATCATGGGGAAAGAGGGACAGAGAGAGAGAGAGAGAGAGAAGCCAAAATCCTACATCAGGGTTGTGTCACAACACGTGGCACATTCATTTGTGGATTAAGGTGCACATTTGTGCAATGTTGCCATTCAACACAAATGTGCCTGGCACAATCAGTGTGTAACTTTGCATTTGGAGATTTACACCAATGCTTCTTAAACTATCTTATGTGGGGAATTTCCTCCACCCCTCATGTGCTAGGGAACGACACCTTAACTGAGTCCACTGCCTTTTGTTGTTGTTGTTGCTGCTGCTGTGTGCCTCCAAGTCATTTTTGACTTATGGTGACCCT